ATATATATATATATATATATATATATATATGTTCATTTTCTATTTTGACAAAAATAATTTCTCAATTATTAGTATTTCTTAAATCATGTACCATATTAAGTGACTAATAGAAAATTCATGAAATCAAAATCCTACTATTTTTTCTAATTTTTTTATAACTTTTTTCTAAATAAATGGATCTATGAACTTTTTAGCCAATAAAAGATTTTCCTTAAAAAGGCAAACTAAATATTTATAGTTCTTTATGACTATCCATTTGTTAGGGAAGATCGAACATTTGTTAATTGCTAACCACTTATTGGAGGTCTAATTGACCTTGTTTTTCTCTTTTGATCCTTCAACATTTACTTTTCAAAATGGTTTTCATCAACAAAATCTCTTTCATGCAAAATTTTGATTACTTTACTTTGTTCTTCTTGTCCGTTATACTTTTTTTTTCTTGGCAAAAAAATAACATTTTCATTGAACATTTCTCTAAATTTTGTAGCAAACATGTATGTCATCCATTACTATAATAATTACGATTACTTTCTTGAACCTGGAAATTAACAAAGTGTTTACAATTTGAGCTTTTCATTGTTAAGTTCTGAGAAATACATTTGCCTACAACCTTGAAAGCATTTCAATTTAACATTTGCACAAATATTTAGAGTGCCAAATATGGGTTTGAATGTAAAGGATATTCAACTTTATTTGTTTAAAGTGATCCATGATTCAACCAAGTCTAGTTACACATTTATACAAAGTCATCTAATAATTTCAAGTGCCTTGTTGGTTTTTTTCAGTCTATATATATTCCTTTCTTATATTTATAACTTCTTGGTTTACATGTCTCCTTTCTTTCTGTGTGGTATTATTTTTATAAAAATATTTTGGAGTTCTGAGAAAACTCAACTCAAGTATGTTAAAATCAAGGATGAGAAAGAAGAGCAGAAGAAGGTTGAAGAAAAATGTCCAAAGGTACCAAAATATAAGAAACTAGATATACTTCATAAGTATCCATCACAAAATGCCACGAGTCGAAGGATAAACTTCAATGATAAGAATTGGGATGTGTATGGTGGTTTAGATGAAAAGGCCAAAGATTTGTCAACAATATTTTATAATAAGTTCACCAAAAGAAACATGGAGAACAAATGGGGCAAATATTTTGAGAAGGGAGAAAGCTCGTTAGAAAATAGGTTGTTTGCAAAAAAAACTCAAGTTCAAAAGAGGCAAAACTTAAGATCTGAACCTTCAATGATTGATTTGGTGGAATATGGTGATTTAGAGATAGAGAAAAAGATAGAGGATGGAGATGACGAGGAAGAAACACAAGAGGATAGGAATAAAGCTATAGAATGGACAGAAGATGATCAGAAGAACCTAATGTATCTTGGAATTTCAGAAATGGAGAGAAATAAAAGGCTAGAGAGCGTCATAGCTAGAAGAAAAGAAAAAAAGTTATTTAAAGGGAAACTTGAGAAAGGTCTAAATGATAAAAAACCAATTGCACCATTGTTTATCAAAAGAAACAATCGCTTAAGTTCTTCAAAAGAGGTTGATGATGGTTTAGAAGTGCCAGGTTCTGCCCCTTCTCTCATACCAAGAAGTCCTTATAGCATTCCTTATGATCATTCTGAAGAAAAGTTTAACCTCATAAAAGATAGTTTTCCCCAAGAATTCTCTAGTCAAAACAACATGTCATTATGTAGGCATGAAAGTTTCAGTTTAGAGCACCCTTTCACATCGGAAACCAAACAAGATCACGGTGCTAGAGAGCATTATTTCCATAATAGAGGAAAGAAGTATTCTGATACAATTACATATTCAAGATTTAGAAGAAGTCATACAGGTGATAGTCATATTTTCTCCTCATCATTTTTGTTTCTTCCCCTTATTTCTCTATCACTCTTAAAATAAGGTGATAAATACAAATTTTAAACTAGACTTGTGAAAAATGATGTATGACATTTTTTATAAATACTTCTATTAGAAAGTAATAATAATGTTTTTTAAAAAAGAAAGTTGTGAAAAATAATAATTATTTTTTTTAAATTATTATTTTATGTTCTTTATTGAATATATTAAGAAAAAGAAATTATTGTGAAAGTTGTTCAAGAAAACTAAATGTATTTTACTCATGCAGATAAGGGAACTCATGATTGGCTAATCGACCAATTGATTTACAATGAAAGTGACGAAAGTAGCAAAAGTGGAGAAAATGGATTGCAAACATCAAATCCATTAACAAAGGGAGAAGAATCAACACATAAAGAAGATGGGAAACATAATATTGATATGAATGACATGAAAGGTGAGAAAGTGGAGTGTGAAACAAAAGATATGTCAAATCAAACAAGTGAAGCACAACCAGAGAAATCAGGACAATGGCCTAAGTTTCCCAAGTCTCATGGGAGGGTTTTCAATTTACCATTATCTACTAATAACACTAGTGCTACTAGTAGTAATATAAATGAAGTTATGTATGAGAATATCACATCAGTAGTTGATAAAAGACAAGAAAATATGTTTTTAATCAATGGGAGACTTTGTCACACCCCAACACATTCTGTGGCTTCTGACTTACAAGTAGAGGTTTCTGAAATTGGTTCACCAACATCAACTGTCGGTGAGAATGCTGAGATTAATTCTTCCATTGATAGAGACTCAATAGTATATGATGGGGACATTGATAGAGACATTAGTTCTGGTAGTGAAGAGTTGTGGGGAGCCTCTTACCATGGAGTAAAAGAAGTAGAAGGAGTTAAAAATGAAGAGAATGATGTAGAAGTGAACAATTCTTCAAAGGGTGTTGTTTCACCTTTTGATACATGCTATATAGATGGAGAAAACACAACTGATATATGCTCATCATCCTCAAAATATGATGTGCCTGAAAATACTCCAACTCATGCAACAAACTATCATCATAATATATTTGACTATTTGAAACATCCTATGGGGGAAAATGAAGCATCGCAATCTTCCAATTCTTCTCATGCTCTAGATCAATTTCCAAATGAAACACAATCAGAAAACCTAAAGGTAAGTTACCTTGGTGTTATTTTGTAATAAAATTGTTAATGAAATTTTTTGTTTATAAATTCACATAAAAGAACAAAATATGTCAATTTATGTTTGTAAGAATTCAATCACTACATTTTACTTGTTTTCTTCATTAGAAAGACTTTAAAAGATTATACACTACATTATTATCATTTTTTATACTATTAGGAACGATACAACATCACAGAGAATGTCACAAATGAGACAAGATTTATCAATGACATGAATAACTTAGCAACCATCGATCAAGATAACGTAGAAAACTCAAGAAATAGTGAAGATCTTGACACATCAGTAATGCGACAAGAATCAGTTGATGATGCCTCCATTTACTCAGTTTCATCATCACCAAGGTCTGTGTTACCAGAGAAAACAATGGGAGATGAAACTTCATTTTCAAATTTTGATCAACACATGCATTTAGATGGTCAACAATCTATTGGGGAAGGTTTAACCCAAGAAAGTTTAGATAGTGAAAATGCACCTAACATCGTGCCTCATGCTAGACAGTCAATCATAGAAGATATAATAGATGAAACTTCATTGTCAAATTTTGATCAACATATGCATGTAGAGCCTCAACTATCTATAGTGGATGGTATGATCCAAGAAAGCTCAAACAATGAAAGTTCACATGATATCATGCCTCAAACAATGCAACCAATGAGGGATGATTTAATAGATGAAATTTCATCATCAAATTTTGATCAACACATGCGAATAGAGCCTCAACAATCTATTGTGGATGGTGTAAATGAAGAAAGCTCAAACAACGAAGGTCCACATGATGTCATGTCTCAATCAATGCAACCAATGATGGATGGTTTAGTAAATGACATTTTATTGTCAAATTTTGATCGACTCATGCTTACAGAACCTCAACAATCTACAACAGAATGTGTGATCCTAGAAACTTCAACCACTGAAAGTCCACCTAACATTTTTCCTCATATCGATCAACTAATAATAGATGATACAACTGATAAATTACATAATGTTATCTTCAATCAATTACAGGTATGTCCTTAGATTATAATTAGATGATTTTATCATTAAAGACTTTTTAACATACAAGTATTACCGTGAATTTGCAAGATTTTTTTAATATTTATTATATTTCATAAATTGATTGAGAAAATGATCATCTAATTATTATATTCATAACTTTAATAAAAGAAATTATAACTTTCATTAGTTATATATATATATATATATATATATATATATATATGTGTGTGTGTGTGACTAAGAGTTTATATATGTATTATAAAAGTTACCTCTTTTTCTTTTCCTTTTAATTTTTATATGAAATTTCATAATGTTGCACTATGTACATTTTCTTTACACAAGAAATTAAGTAAAACTTCTTTATAGTAAGTAATGAAAATAAAAATTAAAAGTATAAAATGTTTTCACAAATTAAATAAAACTTAATAGACAAATGCTAAAGTTTCTTAAATGCATTGAAAAAATAAGCTTTTAAGTTTTCTCTCTCAAATTAAATAAGAAAAGCTTTAAACCTTATTTGCATATTACATGTGACATGCAGACTAGTCCTCTAGAGAATTTTAATGAAAAAGATAACATCTTTGGCAACATGAACGATGAAGTTGACAACAAGAAAAAATACATTAAGCCAAAGAACAATGAAGACAATTTTAATCACCTAAACAGTCAAGAAGCTACTACACAATCAACCAACCCAATAAGTGACACAACAACTCTGGAAGATATGAATGAAAAATCAAGGAATTTAGTGGATCATAAAGTAACATTGATTCTTTAACATTTTTATAATTATTGTACATTTATACTATATTATATTACATTAGATATACAAGTTATGTTGTAAATATTTTATTTTTTTTTGTAAATTCAGCAGGTGTCATCCACGGATATGCTTAAAGATGATAAGAATGACGAACAATCAAATAGCAATAATGTCCATGGTGAGTTGTCAAAACAAAGGGTTACCAAGCGAATGGTTCAAAATAGAGAATCGGGTTACTTATCAGATGTATTTGATTGATTGTAACGATAAATTTTAGGAATTTCAAAAAATAGTAAAAAAAATCTAAATGATCATATGAAATTATCTTAATCTTTTTTTTATTAATAGATAACTCTTTGAGGTAAATGAAATGTATAATACAAATGAAAAATTACATATTCAATTTTTTTTAAATGCATGAAATCTATTATTTGTTTATCCTTTTATTCTACTCTATTTATTACCCACTAGTATTTACTTCAGTTGTTATATAAAAATTGATATTTAAGATGAAATATCAATAAATAAATATTGTTCTAAACAAACTAATAAAACAAAAACGAGTTGTATACATATGTTTATTTCTCTATCATCTAATTTCACAATTCATAAGTAAATATGATAGTAATAAACATGTTTATATAATACTTTAATTGACTTAAATATTTTATTTTGAGTAGTGACGAGTTTGTGATCTGATTCCAATTTATTAAGTTTTTGTTTTCATTTATCAAGCAAATGAACATGTATAATGCCATTTGATTTGATTAAGAACATCTAGAAAATAAAAATAAATTAGTTAACACGTTGTAGATCAATATAGGTCTTTTGTTAAATCAAATTCTTATTATTTTATTGATAATTTGCTTCTATACTATACTTTCGTATATGCAAGAAGAAACCTTTTAATAGAAGAGAATATTAAAATAAAGAAAAAAGTCAAAATATCTTAAAATGTGTATTAGTAATAAAATATATAGTTAAATTTATATTTAGAGATGCTAAATAAACATGTCTTCATATTCAAATTAATTTTAATTTTGATAAAAAATAAATAAAAATATAAGTATGTGGATATCCATATTGTCTTTCTTCTTATATTTATTATCGTTTTAAATTACATAAATCCCTAAATATTTTATTTTCATTGCTTATTTTGGTCATTTGTTTTATTTTATTTGAGACGTCGTCTTTTTATACAATTTTTTATTATTTCACAATTGTTTAACTCATTTGATATTTATCAAGGTCCCTCAAATTTCCATAATACATTTTTTTTTATTGTAACCATGTAGTTTTCTTTGAATGATGTATTACATTTTATGAAATGTAAACCTCAATTTTATCAAATTAAAGTACATAAATCCTTAATTTATTACCTAAATTCTTTTATTTTCGGTTTTTAAATTTTTTTAGTTGAAGAACTTTTCTCTTATTATACAAATCTTATTCTTTTTTTCTTTTTTTAATTGTAAGGACTTTATATGTACAATTAGTCTTTACAAATAAAACTCGATTATTTTATATTTAAAAGATCAAATTATAAATGAAAAATCAATTAATTGAGTTTTATTTTATAAAATATACCATCTCACTACTAAAATATTCTCTTCCCTTTATCTATATTTTCTATTAATTTTTTACTTCTTTACTTATCTATTTGAAGATTAAAAACAACTATACAAGCCATGACCTTAAACACAACAATTTTATTAGTTAAAAATTTACATCAAAGTATGTTCACCTAGTAACCTAGTCATTTTAAGGTGTGGTGCTTTTGTGGTTACATGTGACTCAAAAGGGTTCGAAATGGATCTATGTCACTATGTGATCATTATGGTGTGATCAAATTGTTGATGGGTTTTTTTATGTACAAGTATTGTATCTTGTGTGAGTGGAGTCTTTAAAAGCTATGATAGGATCTTAAGACATAGCTCAGATATGGGAATCGATTATGTTGTATTAGTACTTTTAGTTTTGATCAAATTGATTTTAAAAGGAATTGTATCTATTACTTACCTTGAGGCAATTTGTTCTATGCTAATAGACGATGATTTGTGATAAAAATGTTGATTTATCTTACATTTGAGTCTTTAAATTAAGGTAATATAAATAAATGGAGAATAGGTATATTAGATTAATTTTATAGGCTTTTGGTACCTTATTTTAGTGCAAAAGGGGATATTATGACTTGTAAAAGATGTAAAAAAAAACAAGTGGTAACACATTTTTACACACATTTATAGCTTTATAATACATTGGTTGCACTTTCCATTAGTCTTACTTTAGGTTTATTTCACTTTATGTCATTAGTAATAAATTGAGTTATTTAGTGATACACTCTAATGGAAGCCAATAAGCTAAACTAATATACAAATTAGATTTTTGAAATTATGCACATTTATTGGGCGAGCCAACTAGTCTTTGAACAAAAATTTAAAAATTAAAATCCAAAAAGATTAGGTCATTCTACTAACTAGACAAGCCTTGTGAAAAAGGTTCTCAAGGGTTTGGGTCTCTAGGAAAGTAAAACCATTATTGAGCAAAAATATTTTATGAAAAATCTAGAGAGCTCATGATGGTTGAGTTGCAAGGTGAGTCTTGTCTTACTAGACGAATATCATTGCTTTTACTCCTAATATTTGCTCACTAGACGAGTCAATTCTTTCATTGAGAAAAAATAATTTATCTAAAATCTAGAAAGCTTAGAAGGATTTGATTGTTGAGTGGGTCAAGTATTTGCTAGACCAACATACCTATAAAGGCGACTCACTTAGTAAGAGGTAATGGTCGTTAGGCAGATGATAGTATTTGAAAACTCCCAGCTTTGTCTCGCTAGGCAAGCTTATGTGCTTGTTGAGCAGAGGGGAATAATTTGTACATGAAAATTAATGTTTTGAGTTTTGAAATAAACTAGATGGGTGTGTGGCTGAGTAGGGTCAGGATGTTAGCTATAATTTACTATTTTGTATGTGAGTGGTCAAGTTGAATTAGGACGTTAGCCATAATCTATTGTGATTCATGATTGATGTGTGTATGGTGTGGACATAATTATTTCCAAAGAGAAAATACTATATTGGAATGTAGTAGGTCGTGGTGTATTTAATTAGTGATTTTGTATGAGATTATCTTGACTCTATTAACATTTGACTCACATAAAGGAAGATGTTAAGTGATGAGAGTTGATGAAAATCCCTACAATTTGGAGGAAAGGTGTGTAAAAGAACTGTGTCATAGAAAAAGGAATTCACATTATCATATGAATGGAGGACTTAGCTCCAAATATATATGACTTTGTGTGAGCGAGAGGTAATGTGACAATTATAGAATTTTTGAGTCAAATTCAATACACAAAGTCTTTTAGAAGTAAATTCAAATATCTATAATGAGTTTGGGCCAAATTGATTGTTTCTAGTTTGAGCCAAATAGATTATTATTTGAATGAGCTAGATGGATTGTTACTTGAATGGGTCGAATAAACTTTTATTATTAAAAATTTGATTTTTGATGTTTATGAACAAATATCTATTATGATAAATGAGTATATTATGTTTTATAAATTATTAGTTTACCGTTTTTTTTGTGTTTTTGTTCATTTTAACTACAATAATAATGTAATACACAAGTTAAAAATAAAAGTCGTCAGTAAAGTTGAGCATAGAAGAAAGTTATATTTTTTATTATAATTTATACGTATAATTGTATATATATTTGTTCCCTTTTAAATTATTTAATAGTTTCATTTAAAAAAATTCCTCAAAGACGACTTGTGTATTTGTTTTTAAAATAAATAATATAATGTAACGAATAATAGGACTAATTGTTTAACTCATGTAATTGTTATTTAATAACATGTATTTTTTACTGTAATTTTTATTTTTTATAAAAAAATTATTTGATTAATATCTAAGAGAGTTTCACATTAGTTATAAACATAAACACGATTAGACATAAATTTTATACTTAATGAACATTATGCTAAGAATATAACGTTTTTACCTTATTTACTTTCAAATGATAATATCTTAAATCCACATATCAACCTCTCTTATCTTCATCATACTTATTCTCATGAAATTATATTAAAAAACATTAATAGTCCCCATAATTTCAAAATAGACATTATGCTCTCCTTATATTTTTAATAAAAAGAACATCAAATGGACTCAGATTTTAAATAAGAAATTATATATCTTATATTTTTTTGAAAGAGATGCACAACTCCCTTGGATTTATTTAAAATATCATATGAACTAAAATTTAAATAAAAAAATTTATAAATGAAAATTTTAAAATATAAATAATAAATAAATTTTGTAACATCTCATTTAATAATATAAAACTACTAAAATAAAAATTTTCTTATGAATATTTACAAAACAAATCATTCATTGTATATTGTATATTAGTACAATTATTTAAGATAAAACTATAATAGTATCACATGTATACATTTTCAAACTTTTATACTATGATTTTATTATAAAATTATATTTAACATGATCTAATATCGTGCAATCATCTAGATGGTTGACTCCTCAACCACAGCATACCTCTACACTTCCATCTTTATTTATTTACACAAATACAGTAATCATTGCAAAAGAAGAAAAACCAGACAAGACAAAATAACACAAAAGAAAGATAAGTTAATATGCAAAAGAGTTTTCATACAATGGAAATAACATTGATCTCACATACTTATTCAATCATACAGATCTTAGTAAAGACAAGCATACCACATATAATACTCAAACAAGACTCAATTATCCGGATACAAGAATTGATGTCAAATCTCGGAGGGTCTTGCACTTGTGGTGGCTTCTACTACTTTGCACAACCATGCCAATGAGTTTCACTCTACCACACAAAAGGTTAGTCCATTAACATCTTTGGTCAAAGTAAAATCCCTAAACTAGGACCTTCTGCACCTCTCACCACATACATCATTCTACTATACTTGAGCTTGAATGATTATTAGATTGATAGGATAACCTCTAACATATAGACTTTCACATCAATGAGTACATTAATAAAAGCAAATCATAATCCTCTTTCGATCAAAACCACCCTTCCTCATACAAATCACATATAAAGATAATTTCCTTAACAACTTATAAAATCACATTAAACATACAAAATATTGAACATGGAAGATTAAACAACCATGTTAATTTCGCTCAGCGAGTAGTTCCTAAAAGTCCACTTGTTCAGTGACTAGAAGTCTCGTTCAACGATAGAAGTACTAGAACTCACAA